AATATGTGTGATTTGTCCAATAGCATGCCAGATTTTGTTTATGAACTTGATATCAAATGTATTGTTATGGCCCTTAATTATTGCTGGAATCTTTTCTTATCTAAGGACTTCTTTTATTTCCCAGCTTGTAATGTCCAGGCGCCGAATTCCATGCCTGGATTCATACTTAGACAAGGTATGTATCATCTAATTCACTTTACCACCAAGTCACCAGCATCAATGACAAATATCCATGTTCCCGCCTTTTGCACATGCATGTGAGCTATTTGTGTACAAGTGAACTCAAAGGACTTGGCAGCTGTAAATTTCACTAGATACTTATTCACCTGTTGCCTTATAATGTATGTCCTTGTGTATTTCCCCATTTGTTGCTACTGTGATGTGGAAAAAGGACAATTGCACAAGCATAACTAGGACATACAGGGTTTCCTTCTGAAAGTATATAATATTATTAATTTGGGATATAAATTTTCATCTTGGGATTCATGATGTTTGGCTGGACTACATCACATCAGCAAAAAGAGAAAATTAAACAGCTTGCTAATAGAATATGTTCAGGTGACCATTTCAAAATGAGAAATAAGGAATTAAGATTCATAATTATAGAAAGTTCAACAAAGGTGAATATAAATGTAACACAACTCCTTAAGGTCTTTAGAAAGTTCAACATGATGATAACATTAGAACCAAAATAAAATAAAAAATAAAATGTTTTCTTTTAGTTATCTTTCCTTTATGGTGGACTGCTTTCCACTTTTGTCTTTATGAATCTTGGCAGGTCAATATTGCTTTATGGCCACGGTTCAAGATGGTTTTTGACTTGCACCTCCACAGCCTGCGAAATGCCAGTATCAGGACTCTCTGGGAAGATGATGTTCACCCACATTATGTCATAAGGCGCTATGCTGAGTTTTCTGCCTCCCTTATTCACCTTAATGTAGAATACAAAGATGGCCAGGTTGGAGAATGTGAAGGCCCACTCTTTACTTTGTGGTTTACTTTCACCAGACTGGCTTTCATACTTGCTGCTAACTTTTGTAGCTTGAACTGAATCTGGAGAGACTCAGAATGGCTGTTGATGACTTGCTTGTCAAGCTATCACAAATGTTCGCTAAACAAAAGTTGCAAACAGTATTCCTTATAAACAACTATGACATGATAATATCGGTTCTGAAGGTAAGAAATTACTATAGTTTTCTGTTCTCTGATAAACAATAAATGAATCATGAAAAGTGCAAGTCATTGCCGTGGATTTATATGGGTAATGCTCATATGCTAGTTGGATAAATGTCCAACGAAAGAAAGATGAATTATAAAGGAAAATGGAGGTCTATCTGACAATTTCCCTTGTCACCTTGTCTGTCTAATGAAAAGAGATACGGAAGTCATGATTCCTGTTCTTATTACATTGCAAATCTGGATAGTGGCACTGATTACTTTACTCCGAAATTTAGCAAACCATTAACTGTAAGCGTAACAATATTGACTGTTTCCTATCTAAACATTTGACGCCATTGTTAGCAGATTTTATACAAGTTAGAAGTCTAAATTATACTAACATTTAATACTAGAGAATTTAGAACACCAAATAATCTTTCATTTGCTTCCAGGAAGCTGGTCCAGATGGTGGGAAAATCCAGCAGCACTTTGAGGAGCTTCTAAAGAATAACACAGCCATATTTGTGGTGAGCACACTATTCAAGTCTTGCATTCCAAGAATGTTGAATTGATTATAGTTATGTTTCTCTGACAAACACCAAGCCCACTTTTTCTATTATTGCTGGACTGTGAGTTTCAGTTAGAACGAACCAGTAAAACTAAGTTCATCTATATTTTTTGTGAGTGCTTGATTTCAAGAGGAATATTTGGTGTTGATTGCACCCCAAATAGTGGATGCCTTTTCCTAGATGAGTTTTATAATCATCTTGATTGTACAAATAGTGGATGCCTTTTCCTAGATGAGTTTCGTAGGATTTGTAATCAACGTTAAATTAACATCCGTAGGAGAGCTCTTGAATGATATTCAACTCTCTTCTTGATTGTACAAATATTCCAGTATTTTAACAACTATAAACTGCAGTTGAACGGTTTGTTCTTATATTCAATTTTATTGCAGGAAGAATTGCTATTGGAGCATTTTAACGATCTCATCAAGTTTGTAAAGACGAGAGGGTGTAAGTGTTAATGCTATGCATGTCAGTTTATCTCAAACCTTCTGAAATGCCCTGATTATTATCTTATTGCAGCTGAGGATCCAAGTACTGGCACTGAAAGACCTATAACTATTGCTGAAGTTGAGCCGATTGTAAAGGACTTTGCAAGCAGATGGAAAGCTGCCATTGAGCTTATGCACAATGATGTGATTACTTCTTTCAGCAATTTCCTGTGTGGTATGGACATTCTAAGAGCTGCATTAACTCAACTTCTTCTCTATTATACAAGGCTTTCAGATTGTATAAAGAGGATAAATGGTGGGTCTACCTTGAACAAGGATCTTGTTTCAATTTCATCGATAATGTATGAGATCAGAAAATACTCGAGGACTTTCTAGGACATTTTTCTCTTTTCGTGTCCGTATTACAGTGTCTTGAATTTGTATTTTTTACGTATAAAAGCATTTCAATTGACCATCACATTGTTATTCACGTTTTGTAAGATTGTTTGTGTTTCAATGACATTTTCTGCAACTTATTAATGTGTGAAATAATCCATATAATATATTTATAATTCGGGCTTTCACTTTCAGCCCAATGGTAATCACTTTTACGGCAACTATTTGTAAACAATCCACAATTTCAAAACTAATCACTTTTTTTTTAATGTGTCTTGTTTTCTACTAGACCAGATAAGCTGAGATAACTTTTTATTTTCTAACTTCAGATTTTTTTGAAAGGTTTTGGGTGAAGAGCTTGGTAATCTTGGAATTATTTTCCCTGAAGGTGGCGTAAAAAAATCCTACTGGCTCTAATTGTGATGTAACTAATCAAAAATATCCAATCAAGCATCGTATTTTATTTCAAAATTATTATTCATTTGTACGATGTTAGGGTCCAACCAATCACGAAACCGTAGAAAGAGCTTTAAAAAATGACGTTTTTTGACAATGTTTTTGCCCTTTGTTTGGGACATCTTTTGATTATTTTGATTTTAAAAAAAAGTAAAAAAACTTTCAAAATAATCAAAACCTTCTCCATTTAATTTTTTTTATGTTTATTATAGTTAATATTTATATCATTATTCATAATTGAAATAAAATAGTGAAAATATGATTTTGTCTAAAATGGACTCTTTTAACAAAAGTCAAAAAATTCTAACAACATTTCTAAAGATCTTCGTACTTTTAATATTAGTATAGATAAATATATATTTTTAGTTTGGGTATTATAATAATTTAACATTTAAGCTAAGAAATTCATGCTTTTCACATCCAACTTTGTTTTTTAAAACCAACCCCCCCCCCTCCCCCAACTTTGAACAATAATCAAATTCCACCATTTATCCTAATTAATTCTTCCAAATGCCTATTATACCGTTTTATTATCAACTTTAATTTGTTTTATACTTTTTTAAAAATTATGATATTTTCTTTTAATTATGTACGAAAAAAGTAAGAAATACTAATTTTTTAAATATATAAGTTAATGATTAGGGTTGCTTATCGGACATAACGAGCGGATAATTTCGCTTAACGGTTTGACCTATCGGATATCGGTTTTTAAATTTACTAATCCACTAGCCAATCTATAAGATATCGGTTGGTTCGGTGACAAATTTACAATTATCGGACGGTGTATCGGCTAACCTCTGATCTCTATGTTAATTTTTTTTTCAATGAACACACCTTACAAAAAGGATGACTTTTAAGCAGTAACAAGATTAAATGGATAAATTGATCCAGATTTTTAACTGGTTGTCCCATTTTTTCACTGTCAAGTAGAAGCTTTTTTGCCAATAACTCGATAAATTGTTGCATACTTTTCATATATATATCCTTAGTGATTTCTGAGCTGAGTTTGCTGACTTGCACTCTATTCTTTAAAGCAAAATAGATAATTATAGAAAAGAAATAAATTTTCATGGCTTTATGGCTTTGTGATGTGATAACACATGGATTTGAAAGTGATTAGGGTGTCATGCGAAAGCTTACAATTGCAAATCATATGATTGATAAATCAGATGATAAAAACTTATACTAAAAATAAAAATCTTATTATATGGTTTAGCCAATTGGCCTACATATGACGGGAAAATCTCCCCATAAATAAAACTCTCTAAATGACTACATTGTGGATGTTCTTATGAGAATAGGGATTTTCAATTTATAGATCTCCAAACTTTTCCGGGAAAGAATAAATCAAATATGGAAGAAAATTATATTTTCCTTTCAAAAAAAGTAAAAACATTTATGGTAATGTTTTGTTTTTTTTCTTTTAGGAAAAAATTAACTTTAAATAAGGTAAGAAAATCAGGACAAAACCCTAACAGTTATATGAAAAACATATAATAAAAGAGTGGAGAAAATAAAAAATATACGGATACATACATACTCACAAACTTAATACATATTAATTATTATAGAAATAACGGTCATAAAAGGAATATTAAATTTTGTAGCAAAACCATAAAATTATTATTCTACTTAATGTTAGTGAACTGGAAAAAAAAAAGAGAGGTTAAACTACCTAAGTTAAAAAATAAATTTTATATATATAGAGAGAGATGGGATGATTGAAATAATAACGAATTATTCAGAAATTATTAAGGTTAATTAAACGTGAGCATTCCTATTAAAATGTGGAAAGGAATCCTTTTACAATGACAAAACCAACAAAAAAAAAAAAAATAGTCTAATCCTGCTATGAAACAAATTTCGTTTCAACTATGAGATTCTAATACAGTAGTTATAAATAAAATCACTTGATGTATGTTTTTTTCTTTCCATTAATTATAAGCTTTCTTCTTTCGTCTTAATTTGCTCTTTCGTTTTTCGCATATCTTTCATGGAGGAAATACTTATGGACTTTCTGAGCAGGCTACCTGTGAAGTCAGTTGTTCGTTTCAATTGCGTCTCAAAATTTTGGAATGCATTAATCTCTCAACCTTATTTTATGAAGAAACATCTCAATCATGCTAAAAATCCAGCGAGTTCCCAAAAATTGCTTTCTCTCCACTGCCATCCTAAGGATGCATATGATAATCGTCTTTACTTCTATTCGTCTTCTTTATCCTTGGTTCAACTTGTTAAGGATACCCGCATAGTTGATTGCCCTCCAAATTCTAATCCGTCATATGGTGCACTCGTCTATTGTAGCTGTGATGGCTTGTTTCTCATCGAAATCTGGAATGAACGTTATGTTCAACAACCTTCAGTATTATTGATATGGAATCCTTCCACCAGAGAATCTATACTACTTCCACATTCCAAATATTACTCTAGTAGTGATTCCTCTAGTAGTGATTCCAAATATTACTCTAGTATAGTGATTATGAAGATAGTAGTGATTATGAAGATGGTAATGATAGTAATCTCCGATCTACTTATGGATTGGCTTATGACTCTATTAGTGATGACTATAAAGTCTTTAGGCTGGTCCTGCCTTTTCATGGCCAAAACGAAAACGAAATTTTCGCACTGAAAAAAGGTTCATGGAGAATTATTGACGAAACTTCCTCATCAGGTATGACAGATTGTTCTATGTATTCTGGTGGGGAATTTTTGCCATTTGTATATGGAGCATTTCATTGGCTTGGTATCTCATCAAAGAAGTTGTACGTGGTTTCATTTAATATTTCATCTGAGGCGTACGGAGAGATATCATTGCCAGAAATTGTGTGTTTCCTCGCTATATCTAAGTGGTCCAAACATAAAATTGAAGTTGATGTAGGTGTATCAGTGTTGGGAGGAATGCTTAGTTTTTATTATAAAGATGGCAAATCTTTTAATTTATGGATGATGAAAGACGGCCCTGGTTCTTGGATGAAATTGTTCACTATACCAAGCAACAAAATTTATAGAGTCATACCAACATATATGTTTTCAGATGATCAAGTGTTACTCTGTTTTAAATTAGATTCGAAAACAATGTCAAGATTTGTATATAGGCTCATATCTTTTGGATCATTTGGATTAAGCAATCACATATCGCCTCTAGATTGTGATGACATTGACATTGATGCAATTACAATTGACAAGGATATTGGTATTGTTTATAATGGTATTGTTTATACAGAAAGTCTCATCTCTCCGGAACTAGGTCTCGGGGTGTAATTGGTTTCATTACTTATTATATAACCACACTTCTTTAATGTTAGTTTTTTTATAATTTGTTACTCAGGTCTTGTAACCCATTTGTGATCCTGGAGAGGCTTTCTACCAATGTAATATCCTGATTTCCTTACTGTATTTTACCTTTTTTTTTTCCCGCAATTTTGTATTCAGTACTGTAATTTCACAAGTGGGGTCTGTAAATTATTATGTGCTGAAAACACTAGCACATTCTGATGTTGAATTGGAGTAAGGTATTGAGATGATTTATCTTTGGTCTTGTTTCTCCACAGGCGAATATATAAACCTGGTATGGCACAAAAAAATCTTTCTGATGTTTATGAGATTCTAAAGCTGAACTACTTGAATAGTGAGATTAATTAACACTTGGCTGATAGAAGGAACTTTTTATATTTTGCTGGTGATTCTGATTTTATTTGCTCTCTAATTTAATTTTGCTGCAGATAACTTTGTGTATAAAACGTATAGAAAAATAATTATACTTCAGAAACCCAAGCAATGCATTTTGATCGTCATTTTTTTGAGTTTATTGTTTATCATATTTCATTAAACTTTCATGTAACCTAGTCTCCCTTCACATTTTGTAGAGTCTACACATACAATGTCGTGCAAATATAATTTGTAACAAATAATTATATACAAGTTAACACTGGGTTTGGGGAGACAGGATATTTTTTTTTGGAAATAATTGTTATCTTAAAATTAAGTAGAAAAAGGCTTTCTAATGTTTCGCATGTTTCATGCCCCAGCAATCAGCATCATATTTTATTTAAAATTGAAAAAGACGTAGGACTAATAATGTTTGACATTTTAGATAGTGAATAATATAATAATATAATAAAGAATACTATTGTTTAGCATGATTTGTCTTGTTATCGGTAGTATTTTATCACGATTGTCTTCATTTACGTTATTTTTCCTTTATCTTATTTTGGAGGGTTTGTTCTTCTTTTTTTTTTTTTTTTGAGTTGAGGGTCTATCGGAAACAACTCCTCTAATTTTAAGATAATAATCAAATCTGCGTGTATTCTAGCCTGTCCAGACCCTAGTCCCTATTTTGTGGGGTTATACTTGATTTGTTGTTGTAACAATATAATTTAAAAAAAAATATGAAACATAAAAGTTATTTGATAATCACATTATTTATTATCTCTGAATAATCGATAATGTGGTGCGGAGGAGGGACGGAGATGAGTATTTCATTGAAGAACAATAAAATAATTAAAAATCATATCTACACACTAGTTCTATTTAAAATTGAAAAGACGTAGTAAATAAAGCTCGACATGTTACATGCTCCAGTGTCCTTGGAGATTCGCTGACATTATATATAAATATATATAAATTAAACATATGTCGACATTTTTAGTTTAAACGGTAGATTGTAGTGTAAGACTATTCACATTAATTTTCTATTTTTTATTACCTGCATTAGGCATGGCCTCTTCTAGAATTTCTATGCAGTTGAATAAAACTCCAAATATTGTTTTCATTTTTCTTTCGTGTGATACGAATTCAAATAAAATCCATTAAAATTAAAAATATACGAATTGATATGGAAAATCTGATCCAAAAGCCACTTGTCTTGGCTTTGACGTCTCGAGTCTCCACATGAAACAACATAAATATTTCCTTTTCTTTTATACAACTTGCTTTTGGATAATTGTTACGTATCACATCAGAATACATTTATTATATTATATTATATTATTTTAATAAATATAATATTTAAATTAATTACTCCTCCATTTCATTTTATATGAGTTAATTTGACTTGACACAAAATTTAAGAATGAAAAAAGACTTTTAAAACTTATGATCTAAAATAAGTGATAAATATTTGTATAGCTATAAATGATAAATCCCTCCATCTCATTTTATATGAGTTTATTTTTTCAACTTGATATACATAAATGAATATAGTAAGGGAAGCAATCTAATTTATTTATTCAACACGTTCGTACATTGGGGGCTCCAATCCGTTAGAAAGATTACCCATGTCATGCCATAACCCAACCAATAATTTATATATATATCAAATTGCGTATAACACAAAATATGCGATTTCTGATGCGAATAAAGATGATCATCATCAATTATTCAAAGGATTTAATGTTATATACATATACAATAATAGAAATAAAAAGCAATTGGATGTGCTCCAATCTCAAATAAATTAGAATTGACTTTATGAATTCTCATTTTGTTATTTAAATGAAATGTATCACATAAATTGAGACATAGGAAGTAAGCATTCTTCACCTTCATTTTTAAATTGTGAATCCAAATTACCATTGAGACCAAAATATGCAAGAAGGGTAAGGAAAAAAAAAAGAAAGACGAGTGAACATCAACCCAAACCTACTATCTCCCTTTACCATCCATGGGGTGTACGTGTGGGAAGATCAAATATGGATAATTCTTGTATTTATTAGCAAACACAAATGCCTTTATTTACCTTATTGTCATCATCATATTTTATAAAGAACGGACCAAGTAATCGAAACATGTCAGATGGATAATTCATTTATTGATACCCAAGAAATCTTCCAGCCAATCATGCTGACTAGGTTCAATATTTTTTTTAAAGATATATTTCTAATTTAAAATTGCTCCCCAAAAAAATGTTCCTATCAGTCGTTAGTCACATTTATTTAATTTTAATTAGTTGATAAAACTACAAAAAAATCCAATAATAGTCTCCCATCTATATCAATGATTATCCATATTCATTCTCGTTTCTCACCCAAAGAAAATATACGAGGATATAAATTATATTTTCTTTGTCCTAATTTACGTGATAGGAATTTCGTAAATCAATCATGTTCTATTTTTTAAAATTAAATTACTTCTATATTTCTTTTAAAAATTAAATTATTAATTATTGTGATTTACTTATACTTGTAGTGAATGTGTTGTAAATTGGAAGTACTACTTAAACAAGTAGATCACGTTTCCTCTATCTCTCTTGTTTTGACTTGCAAAAAAACCACAAGCAATTGCCTCTATTTTTCTTCTTCTTCTTCTTCAATATCTGAATTATCAACTACTAGTAGTAGTATATATCTAGAGAAGCTTCACTTGTGGTGTTTCTTTGATGGAGGAGCCAAATGGATTTGCAGAAGTAGCAACAATAATTGACATGGAGCTGGAGGGACAACACAATAATGAAGAAGAAAGAGAGTCGACAGAGAGCAATTACTTGAGGAACCGAACACTATCCTCCACTTCAGTAGCCATAGTGGGAGCTAAGGTCTCCCACATCGAAAGTTTGGATTATGAGTAAGAACAATCACAAATACTAAACCTTATCTGTTTTAGCAGAGATATTTGATTTGTTGTATTTACATGTTATTATGTATATATGTGTCTCTGATTTAGGATCAACGAGAATGATCTCTTCAAGCATGATTGGAGAAAAAGATCAAGACTTCAAACATTACAGTATGTCTTCATCAAATGGACACTCGCATTTCTGGTCGGCCTTTTTACCGGAGGTGTGGCCACCCTCATCAGTCTCTCAATCGAAAATATCTCTGGTTACAAACTCCGCGCTACTGTCAACTATATTGATGACAAAAGGTTAATAAGTAACATTTATTTTTGGTTTTGTTTTTACCCCGAGCAACTCCTCTGTTCTAATGACTTACAATTATATATGTTAAATAACTTCAATGAGATAGTCTGACTTAATTAAAACAATTATGTAGGTACTTTATGGGATTTGCATTCTTTGCGGGTGCTAACTTTCTGTTGACATTGGTAGCTGCCTTTATCACTGTTTATTTTGCACCTACGGCTGCCGGGCCTGGAGTTCCAGAAATCAAAGCCTATCTCAATGGTGTAGACACTCCCAATATGTTCGGGGCAACTACACTCTTTGTTAAGGTGCATGCTGATTTTTATCAATAGTGTTCCCATTTACCCTCTAGCGTGACTTGAGACCTCAACTTATCCATGGATGATGGAGGTGTTCAACCACTTGAACAAGCCCTACTTGTTTATTAATGCTGATAATTCAGACGCGGGCATATAAAATGTTCCAACTGTCTGAATTCTATTAAACAATGTTGAATCTTTTCAACTTCACAGATCATTGGAAGCATTGGTGCAGTTTCAGCTGGGTTAGATCTTGGGAAAGAAGAGCCACTGATTCACATTGGCAGTTGCATTGCTTCTTTATTAGGTCAAGGTGGATCAGACAGTTACAAACTTAGTTGGCATTGGCTCCGTTACTTCAACAATGATAGGGACAAGCGAGATCTCATCACATATGGCTCATCATCAGGTGTTTGTGCTGCTTTCCGTGCTCCAGTAGCTGGTGTTCTATTCGCGTTAGAGGAAGTGGCAACATGGTGGAGAAGCGCCCTCATTTGGAGAACTTTCTTTAGCACTGCTGTTGTTGTGGTAGTACTAAGGATCTTCATGGATTACTGCAGATCTGCTAGCTGTGGACTTTTTGGAAGAGGGGGAATTATTATGTTCGATGTGAGTGACGTAATTGTGAGGTACCATTTTGTGGACATCATCCCTGTTGTAATTATTGGAGTCATTGGTGGTCTCCTTGGGAGCCTCTACAATCATGTCCTCCACAAGGTCCTCAGGCTCTATAATCTCGTTAACGAGTAAGCTCTCTTGATTGAGTAAAAGATTCCTCCATATTCCCAAGTTAACATCTGTTAGCTCTGTTCTCAAAAGTTAAACCATTTGATACAAATTGTACCTTTTTGAACCTGATCTAACATTGATACTTGTGTTATCTTGCGCAGGAAGGGAAAATTACATAAGCTGCTTCTTGCTCTAAGTGTTTCCCTCTTCACCTCCATTTGCATATATGGACTTCCTTTTCTTGCCAAATGCAAGCCTTGTGATTCATCTCTATCAGATTCTTGTCCTGGCACTGGAGAAACAGGAAACTTCAAACAATTCAACTGCCCAAATGGTTATTACAATGATCTGGCCACTCTTCTCCTTGCAACAAA